CGGGTTTTCCACATTCACAGAGGTCAAGTACCCCTAACTCCAGCGAATGTGGAGGGACGAGTGTATTTCTACAATGTAGATGCACCCCTAGTCTAAAGGAATTGAGAAATGGGAGCAAGGCTGTAATAGTCCACTTGCAACCAAGGCCATCATCTGCTTTAGGCCAGTCCTGGATCCACACATTTACCAAATGCACTACAGGAACAAATGCACTACCACATGAACAGAGACAGTGGACGTTTTCACACTGGCCTTTTTGAGGAGGCAATCCTACCTCCGTCTGGCCTCACTCCGGCTCCATTTCCCGGTTGTTTAGACGCGCGCGGCGGCAAACCCCGCCCCTTCCTGTGACATCCCTGCGTCCGTCCGGCTTTTCGCTCCGTGTGTTCAAACGCACGGAGCCCTAAGTCCGGCGTCACTCCGGATGAACCAAGGATAACTCCGGCTGAAGCGGCGGAAAGGTAATTCCGGCTGTCCAACAGGAATTAGCCTTTCGGCGGTGGAGCCATTCCGGAATCGGCGGCACGACCCGTTCCGGAATGGCTCCACCCGGCTTTAGAGGACAGTTGTGAAAACGTCCTGGGTTCACCCACACTGTAGAAGTAATGCAGTTTGACACCTCTTGAACTTCCATGGCTCCATCCTACAGGGTCCTGGGATTTGTCATTTTGGGAGGCACCAACACTGTCTGGCAGAGAAGGCCAAAGGCCTTGTAAAACTGCAAATCCCAGGATTGCATAGGATGGAGCGACATCACAATCAAACGGCATTATTTTCTACAGTGAAACTGCAAGGGGCAATTGTTATTTCAGGCAAACTTGTGGTAGGTGAGAAGCATCCTTGACTGTAGTGCATTGATTCCAAGCATGTCACCCATTGAAAAGAGGTTTGGAGGGGGGGGGTTGGGGGGGGGGTTTGCAAGTTTCTATATTTTTCAAAAGCTGTACAACTTGTCTGACCAGAAATAACAGTGGTATAAAATAAATATGCATGTGTGTACTGGTAGCAACAATTCTTCCAGGATCTCCCTTCTGGTATCTGTCTCTGATGCTTCATTTGCTGTGTGGTCCTTTTGAAATTTTCATCTCCTTCACTTCTCCTGCAGCCCAGCTTTATTGCCTGCACAGCTGGACACCCTTTTTCTTCCTTGGGAAGAATGCATTGCAAACAGCAACATTATCCATAAAAGAGTCACCTTTTTTTGGCAACAAGAACAGCATAATCGTATCCTCTTTTATGTTTGGACACTAACGTATTAGGGTTTTTGCAACAAGAAGTAGTATCTATTTGTTATTCCAAGGCTAGAATCTGGAAGTGACTTATGCAAGCATTAGGGTTGCCAAGTACAATAAGGGTTCCTTTAGGTTTCATAGTTGCTTCTTGTTGTTGTGTGCCTTCAAGTCTTTTCCAACTGATGGCAACCCTAAAGCAAACCTAGGAAGGGTTTTTCCTGGCAAGACTGTGCAAAATTCAGCAGGTGCTGCTTGTCAGGCTGGCTTGACTTACTCAAATTCCCTTTTCTACACAACCACACAGGAGCCCTGTCCCTTTTTTTCACCTGGCAACCCTAGCTGGCATACTCAACCAATATGCCAATGCATAACACTTTGGAAGTGGTGCCTAGTGGTGGCGGGAGTACAAGAGAGAAAGCCATCCCCATTGCCACAGTACAAAGTTGCACTGTTGGCTTTGGGACCAGCTCTGGAGTTGGCAGGTCACTTTCCTCTCCTAACACAGAGTGTATCTACACTGTTGAAATAATACAGTTCAGACCTCCTTTCAGTGCTGTAGATCCATCCTACGGAATCCTGGGATGTTTAGTTTTACAAGGCCTTTAGCTTTCTTTGCCAAAGACGGCAGGTGCCTCACACAATGACAAATCCCAGGATTCTGTAGGATGGAACCGTGGCAGTTAAAAGTGGTGCCAAACTGCATTATTTGTACAGTGTAGATGCACTTAGAGATGGGTTTTGTGGATGCTGCACCCTCCAGCAGTCAGTGAATCACCCACAACCATTTTACTCCTGTGTTGTGCTGCTGTCTTGTTGTCAACTGCCGGCAAGTCATCTCCGACTTATGGTGACCCTGTGAACGCTCCCAGCTTCTTTCTTTCATTTAGTCTCAAAGGTGCTACAAGATCCTTTCGCATACATAAAAACTGGAAATATGATGGCATAAGCAATCCTAACATCAGTAACCATGACATATTCTCTGTAATCTTTTGCCAGTGTGGCATAGTGGTTGGGTGTAGGACCACAACTCTGGAGACCAGGGTTTGATGCCCTGCTCAGCCATGAGAAGTCCATTGGGTGACATTGGCCAAGTTGCACTCTCTCAGCCTCATAGGATAGCAACGGCAAAAAAAAAAAAAAACCTCTGAAGAAATCTTGCCAAGGAAACACCATTATAGGTTGGCCTCAGGGTTAATGCAACATAATGGTTTGAGTGTTGGATTTCAACTCTGGAGATTCTGGGTTTGATTCCCAGCTCGGCTACAAAGCCCACCTGGTGACTTGGGGCATGTCACACTCTCTCAGCCTCAGGGGAAGGCAGTGGCAAACCTCTTCTGAACAAATCGTGCTATGAAAAAGCCATGAGAGGTGACTTTAGGGCCACCATAAGTCAGAAATGACTTGATGGCACACAGCAACAACAATCTGTTGCACCCATTGGGAAGGCCCCTGCCCTGGCACTCCAGTCTGGGTCCTAAGCTTGGCATCACTCTCTCTACTCACCCATCTCTAATTTCTCTCAACCACCTACTGGCCCTCTCCCTCCAGCCCAAGAGTCTTTCAACACACTGTCCTATCCCATCTGAGGATGAAAAGCAGCTTCATGAATATGCCCTCCCTGTGGTTTCAAAGTGTGCCTTCTGCAGCAACAGCAGCAGCAACAAGGAGCTCTCCAATACTTTTGGAAGCCCCCTCACCATCACCGGCGCCACTTAGCCGACAGAACAGGATGAGGCGGTTAGCCAGAGGATCAGCAGCTTAACCCCTTCTCCCTTGCAAGGAGAAAGAAAGAGGGAAAAAGAAAGAGGGGGAAAAGCCCCAGGAGCCAGGACTTAGGAAAGCCCTCTTTGGACTGCAAGTTCCATCATCTGGCATTGCAATCCCAAAGTCTTGGGAATCACCTATGGCAAGGGATCCCAAATGTATTGTTGCTGTATGCCTCCAAGTCACTTTGGGCTTATAGAATCATAGAATCGTAGAGATGGAAGAGACCACAAAGGCCATCCAGTCCAACCCCCTGCAAGAAGACACTGCATGGTGAACCTATCGTAGGTGAACCTGTTGTAGGAAAGTTTCCTCCTTTCAGCTTTAAATCTTTAGGAACAACTAGAAACCCCATACATTTTGTTTTTTTTAATATGGCTCACTATCAAGCCTAGGGCCAGTTAAAACAGCCAAGTAGATAGAGCAATGGAGCCATTCTCTACATAATACAGAATGATTTGTTGTTGTGTGCCTTCGAGTCATTTCCAATTTATGGCCACCCTAAGGCGACTCCCATCACAGGGTTTTCTTGGCAAGTTTCTTCAGAGGGGACTTGCCATGGCCATCCTTTGAGGCTGAAAGAGTGCGGCTTACCCAAGGTCACCCAATGGGTTTTTATGCTCTAGTTGGGATTTGAACCCTGAGCTCCGGAGTGATAGTCCAACACTCAAACCACTATGCCACGCTGGCTTTCTATTCCCAAATACCTTCCTCCTACAATAGCCTGAAATCAAGCAGGATAACTATAGTACTCTGCTAGACAGGGGCTGGCGACAGGTACGTCTGCATCTGATGGTAGATCTCTGGGTGTTCTGCGGTAGCTTGCCAAGGATTTCTGATTTCCCCTTGTTTGACAAGAGGAGCGGCAGAATGATTCCTCCACTTTCTTCAGCCAAATTAAGGTGCTACAATGAAAGCAGGTGATGGGAATGAGAAATGATCAATTGTGTGGAAGGACTGCGTTCTGCTACTGAGGGCATATTATTGTACTCCGAATAAGAGAGGACTTGGGTTTGTTAGCAAATTTGCACCTGGCTTTGGTTGGTGCAGTGATTTCAACCTCCATCCTTCCAGGTGTTTTGGACTTCAACTCTTAGATCCCAAACCATTGGCCAAGATGGCTGAGGCTTCTGGGAACTGAAGTCCAAAATACCTGGAGAGCCAGAATCTGGGAATCACTAGGTTAGCAGATCTTGAGTTTCTCATAAAACAGAAACCCAAAAGATTTCCAAGCTTAGATTTTGCCCACCCCCTGCTCTGACATAGGAGTTTATCACATGGGTGGGATCCCGTGCAAAAACGGGATTTAAACTGAAAAAAATGTGCAAAAGTGGATTGTTTTTCAGATGATGTCTGAGATTAATCCACACAGAAAGAGGGAAAAAATCACAAAAGCGGGTTGGTTTTCAGATGACGTTGGGGTTAATGAGCAATAGAGCGTGTTACAGAAGTCAAGGCGTGAGGTTACCAGTGCGTGCACAACAGTCTCGAGATCCCGGACAGAAAGGCGACAAAACACACTTCTTTTTACTTTTGGGATTTGCTGGTAGGGATTGATGGGAATTCTAGTGCAGCACACACACTTTGAGGGTGAGAGCCAGCATGGTGTAGTAGTTTAAGTATTGGATCACAACTCTGGAGACCAGGGTTCGATTCCCAGCTCGGCCATGAAACCCACTGGGTGCTCTTGGGCAATTCACATTCTCTCAGCTTCAGGGGAAGGCAAATGGCAAAATTTCTCCTCGGAACAAATTTTGCCAAGAAAACCCCATGATAGGTTTGCTTTACTCGAAGGTAAACAACAACAACAACAACAACAACACTTTGAGGGTGCCATATGGAAAGCTTTGGCATACAGAGTGGGACTGAGACCCATCAAATGATAACATGAATAACTAATGAAACAGGCATTATATTCATAGGACATAATCCCAGCAAGTGTAAACACTGATATGGAAATCAGGGCTGCTTCTTGCAAGCAACAACAGCCTATCCATGTGTTAAGGGAGCCTATAGATCCCAAAAAAACCTTTGCAATCTTGCAGCGGTTTTTTAACTGACAGTTGTTACAAAGAGGTTTCCCATGCCACTGGCCATGCTGGTTAAGGATTCTGGAAGTTGTAGTCCAGAAGGCCACTTTCCCACACTCTGGCTAGGATAAGGGCATTTCAGTCTTCCAGATGCGTTTGTTTTCCCTTGCATCATGAGACTAATTTCCAAGGCTCTGTGCAAGTAATCCAGCTGCTAAAAGTCATCTGTCCCCTTTGTCACAGCCAGCTGGAAAAGGAGGGGGGAAAAGAAAGAGCAGCAAAGGGAGAGGCGGATGACAGAAAGAGAAGAAGGAAAGGGATATTCCCACCTGCTTCTGGTTCTGGCTTTTTACACTGTTACGATCACCAAGGTTCCTCCTTTCTGCTTTAAATCTTTAGGAACAACTAGAAATCCCATACATTTTTTTTAAAAAAAATATGGCTCATTATCAAGCCAAGGGCCAGTCAAAACAGCCAAGTAGATAGAGCAATGGAGCCAGTCCTATCAGGATCCATTCTCGACATAACACAAAATGATTTCTTGTTGTGTGCCTAGGGTTGTCATTTCCAATTTATGGCAACCCTAAGGCAACCCTATCATAGGGTTTTCTTGGCAAGTTTCCTCAGAGCAGGGTTGCCATTCCCATCCTCTGAGGCTGAGAAAGTGTGACTTGCCCAAGGTCACCCCGTGGGTTTCCATGGCCGAGCAGGGATTCAAACCCTGGTCTCCAAAGTTATAGCCCAACACTCAAACCACTACATCATGCCAGATCTCTATGCAGAATACTCCTACCCTACATATTAAACCCTGTCCTCTTTGGCATCTAGTCATTAGTGATGGGCAAACATTCCCAGCCTGGCATTTATTCATATTCTTGCTGAGTAATTGGAGAAAAATCCACCACTTTCCCAAGAGATCTTTCCTGACTTGTAACATATGTGCAGGCTTGCAACGCACTTGCCTGAGCTGTATTGCTTGTATTGTATTGTATTGTATTGTATTGCTATCTGGAAATATTAGCTTGAGTTCACCTGTCCTGCACTTATTCAAGAAGACCATCAATGACACAAAGCTGCTTTGAAACTCAGCATTCCCACAATCCAACCTGGAGATAAGAGGATGCTTTGGAACTGGATGGAGGGGGGCAACCACAACATTTGCAATAAAAGTTCAAGAGAGCTGACTGAGTTAAAAGAGAGAAACTATTCAGCAAAACCCAAGGTATGATCATGGAAGTGTGGGCAGAGTGTTGGTGAGGGGTGGGATAGAAAAGCAGATACACAAGGCATCCTCAACCACAACACAACATCACAAACATGACCAAAAAACATTCAAAATTGTCTCAAAAATGAGGCAGAAATGTGGAAGCATGTGTCATGGGAATAAACTTACAAAAACTACAGGACCACTTTTGGCTTATTAGTATCATCGTCGTCGTCATCATCATCATCATCTTATATCCCGCCATCATCATCATCATCATCATCATCATCATCATCATCTTATATCCCACCTTTCTCCCATATAGGTAGGTAAGATGGTGATATACCTGGAACCAGATATACATGGATTGAGTATATCCATGAACTAGATATACATGGAACACAATCCATGGTTTTTGCCAACTTTCTTGTTGTATTCAAGTCATTCTGTATTCAGAATGTATTCAAATGTCTGACATGTCGTGACCCTAAGGTGAACCTATCATGGTGTTTTCTTGGCAAGATTTGTTCAGAGGAGTTTTGACTTTGCTTTCCTTCGAGGCTGAGACGGTGTGACTTGCTCAAAGTCACCCGGTGGGTTTCCATGGCCAAGCAAGGATTCGAACCCTCGTCTCCAGAGTTGTAGTCCAGCGCTCAAATACTACATCATGCAGGCTCTCCTTTTACCAACTACAGGCCATAAAAGAATGAACTCCTCTTCGGGCAAAAATCCTCAGGCCTAAATTGAAGTTTTCACAAGTCGTCCCATAAAGATATAAGGCAGAAAAGCGCAGCCTGTGGGCCAGATGTGGCCCCAGTCCCTTTCTGCAGTCCCATAACCCCCAAGATAACCTCAAAGCCCTGGATGATGATTTCCCACCCCTCATATTGCAAGAAAACAACAACAGCAACAACATTATCTGTTTTAAGGGGGTGGGTTGGGGTATTTGTTGTATGGGGTTTTAACTGATGTAAGCCACTTAGATTGTCTTCATTTAAGCGGGGTATAAATAAATATTATTATTATTATTATTATTAACTGCAAAGCACATGAAGACATGACAATTTTCCAGCGCTCATCCCCTGCCAAACCCCAAATATCTGGAAATAAATAAAAAATCAAACTGGAGGTGGTGTCACGTCATTTCTGGATCACTGCTAACACGGTTCTGCAATGTGCGAGGTGGGATGAAGGAAAACTAGATTTCACTGCCCTATGCCAGCAGGATTGTGCCCTTTTGTCTTCCAAAAACGCTATGTTCAAATCAGGGACTGAAGCTAAAAGAAGATTCGAAAGATTCACCAGTATCGGTAAAAGGGAGGAAATTTCTCTCTGACAATTCCTGCAGGAATTCGAGCATTCCTCATATATATATATATATATATATATATATATATATATATATATATATATATATGATCAAGTAGGACTTGCATTTTGGAAGAAAATTCAGAATTTGTTAGTACAGGTCAGGAGACAAATGAGGGAAGAAGAAAAAGCAATGAAAATTTGTAAATAGAAATGGATAATAGATATTGAAAGCTTGTTGAAATGTTACACAGTAAAATACAAACAATACGATGAAGTCAGAATGGATTAAAGAAAGGGGAAAAACCAATGTTTAAATATAGAAATATAGAAATCTAAGAGAAATTTTTAAGAGAAATTGTTAAATCTTTCTTTTTTGAGAAAAGATAGCACAATATAGAAGATATAAATACACAATTCAAGTGGAAAAATGTTTTGCTATTAAGAGACATCAGTAGAATATATAAGGAAGTCAACGTATTGTTTTGTTTTTTAATTGTGATATGTGTTTGTAAAGTTTTCTCATTTCTGTCACGTTGTGTTTTTTTATGTTTTGTTTTGTTGGTTTTTGTATTAAATTTTCAATAAAAAAAATAAAAAAAAAAAGAAGAAAAGAGGAAAAGCAATGGAGAGATGAGCTGTGGCAGCCTGGCAGGGCATTTGTGTTTGTGTTAGCATTATTAAGAAAAGAGATCCTGAGATAGTGGTTTCCAATCCTCTGCCCTCTTGATTAATGCTAATTGCCTTTGCTTAATCTGCTTAATAAACTGGAAGCTACCTTGAAGCTATGACTGCCTTGTCCACTATAGCAAAATCTATTGCAGTTGTACTGCAAGCATTATTTGAAAATATACGTCTTTCATACACATTTACATGTTTTAGGCCAGGGGTAGGCAACCTTTTTGAGCTGGGGGCCGGGTTGCTGTCCCTCAGACAATTGGGGGGCCGAAGCACCAAAAATAAATAAATAAATAAATAAAAATGTTTTTTTAAAAAATTAAAATTAAAAAAATGCATGCACACTCTCTCAGCCCCAGAAAAGCCATGGCAAACCCCCTGTGGAGATTTTGCCAAGAAAACCCCAAGAACAAATAATAACAACAATAATCAATATCATCATGGCAGGCGGCAGTGGCGGCGGCAGGACC